AAACCCACCATAGGCTTAGGCTCCAGGGAATCAGAGAGCCACGGTCAGCTCCCTCCTGTTCTGGTCATTCTATTCCTGCGGCTTGAAATGGGCACTGGTGGTGGTGGCATTTCTCCCAAGAGGCAGAAGCCCTTAGGTGGCTTGCTAAAGTGCAGTTAATCTCCAGCTGGGCTTAGGGAAGAGACTTTTGGTTCTCTTGGACTTCTTATCTTCCCATCCTGTGTCCTATCCACATGGGTGGTTGCCCTTAGCTGTCATTAGGGGAGGGATCAGTCCAGCCTTCATGAGCTCTAAGAACAAGTAAGTGCTGAGTGAAGGGGAATGATGCTGAGAAGACAAAAATTTGATTAAGAAACTTTAGTCTTTTCAATTCACATCTGATTTTCCTGTATTCTAAGAGCATTAGTTTTAAAGCCACTGGCCCACGGCATTCTTAGCTTGCCTTATAAAAGAATGTAAAATTAGTAAGTAGGTTAGTCCTATTTAAGTAACATGCAGGCAAATGTTTCTTAACGGGATTAGTGGGAAAATTCCTGGACATTTTCAAATACCATTTTGGAAAAGCAGAGACAGCTGAACTAAGCTGAGCACTGATCAGATCCGGGGCTGAATCTAACATTTTGTGAGGCATGTCTCCTGTTTCCCCTGAACGAGTCAATCATTTTTTAAGATGTGTTCATTCTCCTTCTCAGCGGAATTCTGTTGAACAGAGAGCATGGCAACATCCCTCAATATTCTGTAAAATGAGATTTAAGTTACGTCCGATCCACGTGAACTATGTCATGTGCCTTTGGAGAAACATGCTGACGCTTCATGGGAGGCGGGGTGAGACTCAAAGCAGGAAACCAAGTCAGAGATCTGGGTTCCTCTCCCAGTGGCCCCAGGATCGGACTTCTGGCCGTTCCCAATGAGAAATTGTTCTCACAGGGGCGGCCAACCTTATGTTCCTGAGAAACTGCTGGATTACTTGTAGGTGACATCCAAGTGGTCACATTTTTATAGACACAGAGCCCTGAGCCCCAAACTCCATGGTCACGTCACAGGTGCGGCCCAGACTCCCTCCTGGAGAGAAACTCGGCAGAAGTGGGGGCGACCGGCCTCTCTCAACCTGACAGGACTTCGGCTCCCCCAGGAAAAAGCAAAAGGCAGACCATGAGTCCCTAACCCTCCCTCTGGTCTGGGACAGTCTGAGCGAGTGGCCTCAAGCGGGCAGCCAGCTGGACGGGGACCCTCTTCCAATGATGGGTCCCAGAGCAAAGGATGCAAGGGAGGAGCCCTTTTCCTCCCCAGCCCCCAGGCCGGTCCTGCAGAATCACACGGAGAGGGGGACCCCGCATGCCAGGCAGCTTCAGGGCTTTCTAGGGAAGGCCAACATCCGGGAGGCCCAAGAGAACAAGCAACCCCAGGACAAAGTACTTGCCCCATTATGACGAAAAGAGAAGCCAATATAAGGAAAAGCAGAGAGCTCGGAGGACGCGCTCCCTCGCCCATCTCCACCAGCCGGTTCCACGAGAGCCCTGGCTGGGATCTGGGGTATTCAACGCGGCAACGATTCCCAGGCTAGGAATCAACCGGACAATTGGGAACATTTCACGTAGTGAGACCCTGATGGCACCTGCTGGAGAGGCAGCAGAGCTGAGCCCGGGAACCTGGGAATCAATTCAGATGCCCTCAGCGTGCTCCTAACCGGCCGCACGTTTCACGCTTTAAGCAGGACATCTGGCGGGTGTGGGCCTAGCCACCAGCATCAGACATGAAAGCAGATGTTTCATTATCGCAGAGGACTCTCGCTCGAGGGGCTTGCAGGTCATAAATTTCGAGGTGACGGGCTGGATTCTGTTTGGTTTCCTGCCATAGCTGGACTATTATTATCTTTAGCCCAATGAGTTACAACCCAAGTATGTTGGTTATTCGTGACCCCCTTGCCTCATCGCCACCATTAAACAATCAGATCAAATGCAGCATTATTTCAGGGTGAGGCCCTACCCCGAAACTTCACACTGATTTTGCAGATCGTTTTTTTTCCCCCCTCATTCCTTTAACTTCTTATGGAAAGCTGGAATTTATCATCCCTTTATAACAGAAATCAAAGTAATTTTCCCCCTCTTAAATGTCTGTTGATGGTACCATGAGTAATAAATTAAACCTGCTAAAGATAAACACATTCTCTGCTGTATTTGTTGTAGTAACTGCATCACAGGATAAAATGTGTTTGGCTAAATGAAAAAGGATATAGGGCTGCTTTGCATAAGATTGGAATGGAAATGATACCACAGGAAATTATTTTATGTCAACCACAAAAACAGGCAAAATATCTCTCTGGCCAGATGGGAGAGGAAAATTAATTATGACCGTGCTATTGTTCCCAGTGACATTATGTGTCTAAGAATCTGGTTCTCTCTAGACCAGAAGGCGGAGCCAGCACTCTTGGCTAACACAGATGTGTAACTTACAGGAAGAGGACATACCCTGGGCCTCTTGGACTGGCCAGGCCACTGTCTCATGCAGCCTCCTTTTCTGTGGTCTCTGGCCCAACCCTGCCCTCCTTCGTTTGGGTCTAGAATCCTTTCTCTGCCCCTCTCCCTGGGTCTGACCTCCCTGCTCCCCCACCTGCTTTGCCTGGCTCTTCCCAGTAGAGACTCTTGCACTGAGGCTGCCCGCTGTAGGAAGACCAGGAGCTAACTGGTGCAAGGATTCTGCCATTTGGTTGTCAGTTTGTTGAAGTAAATAATAGGAGGGCAACAGAAGGCAAATACTGCAGATAATCCACTTGAGACCTCAAAAAGCCTTTCATAAGTTTCATTAAAAGAATTATTTAGCACACTACTATATATAAAAGAGATAAACAACAAGGACCTGCTGTGCAGCACAGGGAACTATATTCAAAATCTTGTAATTACCTATAATGGAAAAGAATCTGAAAAAGAATACATACTTGTATGTACATAGAGCTAAATCACTTTGCTGCACACCTGAAACATTGTAAATCAACTATACTTCAGTTAAAAAGTTAAAATTAAAAAATGCTCTTTAAGAAAGAGATTTCTTATGAAAAAGAGCAAGAGAAATGGACAAGCCGTATACAAAAGAAGAGATGCAAATCACAAGAGGGTCAGCCTTCCTGGTGTGCAGGGAAAAGTCAGTGAAAGCCATAAGGAATTCTCTTTCACACCCTTCAGACAGGTTAAAAGGGAAGTGCTGGCCTGGCCTGGAGCAAACCTGAGATTCAGCATGCAGTGTGGAGGGGTGTGGGTTAACCTCACCCCTTTGGAGAAGACTCTGACCCCGAAGATGTGCACACCTGAGGATCCGGCAGTTTCATTCCTGGCCTCATCCCCTTCACCTCCCCTTGCCGTAGCTCCAACTTATTATACTATACACAGGATGCCTGGAGATCTTGTTAAATGCAGATTCTGAATCAGTTGCCCTGGAGAAGGCCCCATGAATATGCATTTCTAACCAGCCTCCAGGAGATGTCCATATTGTCCAAGGGACAACTTTATGTAGCAAGTCCCTAGCCAAGTCCTTACACGGTTGCACCAGAGAATGGCAAAGAATTCGCAGCGGCACTAGGAAATAGTAAGCTGTTGGAAAAAATTAACGTAAAGGTCTTAGATATTGATAAGTTCTTAGACACTGATGTTGGACCCCCAGACATACTCCTGCAGATGTAAAAAGCCAGTCATCTTGAAGGACAGTTCTCCATTTGAAAAATGAAGGGAATGTGGCAGAGGGCACAGAAAGTGGACTCAGAATCCTCCTCCTAATGCCACTAATCACCCGAGGGGCACAGGCAGGGCCCCACCCCAGAGGCTCTGAGGCGGTCGGCTTGGGTATAGCCCAGACGCTTGGAATTTTTAAAGCTCTGAAGGTTCTAATGTGCGGCTGTGGCTGGGAGCCACCACGCAAGAAGTTACTCGAAGTGTACACCAGCAGGATGGTCATCATCCAGAAGTATACAAAAACAGACTCTCAGCCACCCATCTTACAGCATGAGAATCATGGCCCCAGTCCCGCAGACTCCGCGGTTTAAGAAGCCCTGTTTCTCCCTGGAGGAGTTGTCAAGTGGTACCTTCCTTTCTGGGGAAAAATTCCTATTAGAATCTAAAGCTAATGATATAAAAGGAGCAGAGTCAGACAGACTGCAGCAATTTGGTTTCCTGCCCTTTACCCTGGAAACAAGCATGTCAACAGGTCAAACAGAACCATGGGGTCTGAAGGATGCAGCCCCAAACTCAACCACCTCCTGCATGAATCTCGAGGGTGGCACCATGTGGGGGTTCTCTGAGTCTGAGCTCTTAGGGAACACCTGCCCTGCTGACAGTCACTCCCCTTTCACTTTTGGGAGCCAGGAAATGGGGAGGCAATCGGGCTGAGACTAAAGGGGAAAATAAGTAGCTTCGATTTAGGTGAATCCCCTACTTGGTAGGGAAAATCAAAAACAAAAACTGGTCAACCTAGGCTAGCATTAACAATGTAAACCCTAACTTATTTTAACATTAACTATTTTAACCATCCTATTGACCATAAAATCACTTGCTACCCCTGGTTTCACCTTCAGCATGTTCACGGACAGCAGTGAACCCCTGGAGAAATAGTCTCCAGCCCAGAAAATAGCCCCTAATGCTGGGTAAGGGGCAGAAATAGGGTCTGAGCAAAGCATCCGGGGCAGCACGTGGCCACGGCCCCAGTGCGCCCAGCCCTGTCCACCAGAGTCAGCTAGTGGACTTTCAGGGCTCCCTGCGGACAAAGTGGGACTTGAGGAAGGCCTGGCCAGAAATGGCAAACGCACTGGACAGGTGGCTGGAGCGCCCCTCTTCCCCAGTGGCCGACGGTGACTGTCCCGCATGAAACTTACTGTTGACCAGCACAGGTGGGCCCTCCACGCACCACTGACAATTCACTGGAGCCCGCCTCTGAGTCCCTGTCCTTCCTGGTCAAAGAGCCGGAGGGCCGGTCCCCGCAGGCCGAGCCCCGCCCCCTAGCCCCAAGGCACTTACGAGACTTCCGGTTGGCCCGGGAGCGCTTCCTCTCCCGCGGCACCACGCGCTGACTGGGCACTTGGGTGGCCGACTTGACGATGCGGTCCATGATCTCGTCAGCCGCATCGTCTGTGACGTTAGGCGAGTCATCCATCCCCATAGTCCACGAACTGGCGGATCCTGAAGAATCAAACAACCGGAGAGGACCGGGTACTCAGAGAGAAGGGAAACGCAGCATCGCTCCCGCGGCGGCGAAGCTCGGTCAGCAGCACAGCCGAGGCCAGAGTCAGGGTCGAGCCTGACGCATCCAGAGGACTCCCCCATCCTCATCACAGGGGCACCGCAGTGACCTGTGCAGTGACTGTCACCCCCCAGGCTCTGACCTCCCACAAATCCACAGCTGGGGTGCTGAAGTGACACTACCGGGTCACACAGCTGTGTTCTCATTCCTCACTGTCCTCTGACTTTAGATTCCTGGATGTGCCTCCATCTGCCAGGTCCTGTGATGGCGGGCGGGCAGACTCCCCACGCCATACACTGCTGGGCACATCAGATCCCCAGGGATGTGCATCCAGCAATGTCCAGAGACATCAGTTAAGTCAGCTGTCTATGGTTGTATGTGCCTAGTAAATGTCAACTAACCCTAACTTCTTACCCAGTTTATCAAAAAGCCAATGGATTTTGTAACCTATGGTTTACCTTTGGATTACCTAGCCTTTAAAAAACATAACAGGACTGCCCTCTTCAATCAGCAAAGGGGAATTAACACAGCTTTTTCTTTGGTACATTCATCTGATCAGAAAAAATGTCTATAAATAGCTGTATGTTAAGACAGTCCACATCTGGCATAAAAGCATCTGTTTATAGACCAGCAAGAAAGTACCACAAAAACATGGGTTCCCAAGTGACATCAGTCAGAACTTAATGCTATTTTAATATGTCAAGAACTGTGTCTTTGTAATTGATCAACTTCCTGTGAAATCTCTTCTGTGAGATGGGAATTATGCTTCTGTAAGAAAAAATACGTACAATGTGCTCAAAATTGTGAGCTTCCTTTACCTACACTTCTCTTTGTAATAAACACACCACATGAAAAACCTGTCAGCAAGTGCTTTCAAACTCTGTTTATGGAACAAAGGTACCCTGAACCTGACCAAAGTCCAGTGAAAGCTGAGGAACAGCCGGCTTTTCCCAAACCACAGGGGAGAAAATATTAATAAATATAAGTCTTAAATTTTGAGTTCCCCTATACTAATTTTTCAGAACTTTTGGTGTTTGGATATTGAT